TATTAACTCCTTAATATATAGTTGTAGAAAGAGTGCTTGTATGCACGTTGAGTTGTCCTAGAATTTGGAGGAAATGCATTACTCTACTGGGCAACATTCCATGAACACATTACCTGGAGAAATTCATGGAGATTTATACAGAAGACTGTTCCACCTGTGGAAAGAATGAGCACCTGGTCAGAATTTTGCAAGAAATCCCCATATGTATTTATTTTGGAGTTCAGCATATTTGACCACTATACACATAAAGAAAATATGGAGTGACTCTGAAATACAAATGTGATCTTTTATTTATATCAAGCTCAACTTGGATTGCGAGTTCTGAATAACCAGGTAATGAGGTAGGGGTGACCAGCTTTAGGTCAGATGTTGAGAATTCAGAACCAGTGCCTGACTGGGGGAGCACCGAGTCACAACATGGGTTTGCCATGGGCATTATGAATTTATGCCTACTTTCTGGTTTCAGTAGCAAACGGAATAGGACAATCCAGAAAACCAGTGAAGCAACAGCTTTCTGAACGACTACCATGTACTTTGTATCAGGCTCAGACTATGAAGAGCACTTAGCATGGTTCTCTCTTTGAGGAGGTTAAAATGTGCTGAGAAAATAGGACACAGTTTTTATTAAAGTTTCTTTGAGTTCCAACGCAAGAGAACTTGACTCAAATTGGCTTAGGCAAAAAAATAAGAATTTACTGTCTCATATAAATGGCAAGTTCAAGTTTCAGGCTGATGTTGGGCATTACTGGATTTAAGACTCAAAATAAGCCACTAGGTCTCAGTATTTCTCTGTCTCTCAGCGAGGCTCCACTGTCCTCCCTGCACTGGCTTCATTCTCAGGCTCCCTGGGGATCGTTCCTCCTGGGCTTAAGCCTGGTGGAATAAACTAACACCTCCTTCCCATCTCTCAAGCCAAAGCCCTCTGATGAGCCCTGATAGGGCTGATTAGCACAACTTACCAAATGAGAACTGGAGGCTGTTACCTGATGCCCCTGAATGGCTGTGGGTGTGGGTGTCCAGAAGGCTCCAAGTGAACAGGATACAGCAGGAAAGACAAATATCATGCAAATAATTCAGTTCCAAATTGAATTGAGGG